CTTACCAGAAATACAGAGAGTAGGCCATCCTAACCCTACCCTGTAAGCATCTTCATTTTAACATGATCATCAAGAGATTCATACGTGCATTAATTTGAGGAACACCACTATACAACTTGCATCAGTAAAAAGGAGAAGAGTAAGTTTGGTTCTAAAGTTCCAAAGGACTGGCACGCTTTTCTGTTTTCTGGAAATGTATATGTGGCTTACTCTGAACTTGTGAGTGTTGGGACTAATGAACGACAGAGATTTTGGAAACTAACCTGTTCATATGTAAAAGAGTTTCTAAAGTTCCAAAATGGGTTCTATATTCCTCCTGTCTTCTGAAACAGAGTACAGAGCATAATTTAATTTTTCTTTGTAATTGAGGACCAAAGTTATGAGTATCTGTTTTGGTCCTAATATATGGGGATGTCATAAAACACTCACAAGTTACGTAGCAGGTGTTAAGTATATGATAGTTCCCTTCACTTTATTTCCTTCAGAATACTAGGTTCTAAATTTCTCAGATGGCAGAGACTTGTGGACTATGTTTATCATAATTCCAGTGGAATAAATAGGGTTGTTCAATGTAACTAATTGTCTCAGACTACTGTGCATTTTTCTTTCAATTTTTAAATTTTATTTTTTTCTTGAGCTTATTCTGCCAACTAATAGTGATTGCTGCTTTCAACGTACCTATATTAACAGCAGTTCTTTCCCTTGCCTTGTGATTCATAGTTTTTAGTCTGCTGTGGGCTAGATAAGTGTGCAACTACAGAAATTACAGCATGTCTGAAATAATAGCCAAACAGTTTGTGACAATCTGAGAGAATTTCCTGTAAGCGCATGCACTATTGTTCATAGGCTGACTATGTGGTAATTATTTGCCTAGTAATCTCATCTTTTATTTTTCTTTTAGTATCTTTGTTGTGTTTTGGACTACTGAAATGTAAATGAGAATTAAATGACATCAACATTAGTGACCAAATATTACTAAAGTCAATGAAATTATTTCTTCTCATGATAATGAGGGGTGAAATTCAAATTGGGATGACATAATGAAAAGAACAAAGATTCTCAAAGAGCAAAAAAATAAACAAAAAATACAGCAAGTATATATTTTTTAATTCAAGAAATCTAAATACAAGTCAGTAGGAATATATAGAAAAGTTTCTACATACCTTTGAGAACAGACTATATCTTATTCATTTTTGTATACTCAATACCTGGCCTATTACAAAGGTAATAAAACTATAAATAAATCAGATAAAGGAGGAGAAAGAAGAAATTGTTTTTTCATATTAGGAGAGGGACACCTAATAGAGAATGCCACTAAAAGACAGGGAGTAATCTGCAAAGGTCAAATGTGATTTAAAAACTAGAGAATAAAAAGGCTGCTGGAGGAGTATGGAAAGCCAGGCTACAATAAATAATTGACATTTCTTGGCCAGGGGCGGTGGCTCACGTCTTGTAACCCCAGCACTTTGGGATGCTCAGGCAGGCGGATCACCTGAGGTCAGGAGTTCAAGACCACCTTGGCCAACATGGTGAAACCCCGTTACCTACTAAAAACACAAAAATTAGCCAGGAGTGATGGTGTACACCTGTAACCCCAGCTACTCAGGAGGCTGACGCAGGAGAATCGCTTGAACCCAGGAGGCAAAGGTTACAGTGAGCCAAGATCACGCCACTGCACTCCAGACTGGGCTGGATGGCATTCTCCAAAAAACGAAAAAAGAGCTGACATTTCTTGAGCTAGAGATAGGTGTTCATTTGTCCATGGTTCTCACTTCTGTTATAGAGAATGGAGTCCTAAGTTGGGAATGATAAATAGTAACGCAAGTGTTACAATTTGATAGTCATCAAAAATTTTGCTTTCATACATGCAGCAGAGATTAATTCAATTACCCACTTTCTCCCTGAATTTAGACTTGGCCTCAGCATCTGCATCAACACTACCCCTCAAAGAATCTGAGTTGACAAAGGAAACATCACAATTGGCATTTGTGACACTATAATCACAAATCTACAAAATACCACTTTTGTTGGTCTGAAAAAGATTGAAAAGATGTCCTGCAAGAAAGGACCATCAACTTCCAAAGTAAAAGAGAATGAGCCAATTTAGCTTAACTTTGTTGTTCAAAGCTGCGGTCCACAAACTTTCCCAGGCATCAGAATTGCCCGGAGAGCTTGTTGTAGGGCCCTATCTTAAAGGCTTCTGAATCAGTAGGTCCAAGGTTTGGGCCAACGAATCTACATTTCAAAAACTCTGAGATCTACCATTGTAAAGTATACTGGAACAAATTCTAAGTACAAAAAACTGAAAATCCTTTGATAGCATGATAGTATATCACAACTAGCATAGCTTTAGGAAGAAAAATGTAAATTAACCCAGTATAGTTTGTAGTGAAGCAATGGTCTAGAGCTAAGTAAGCCTCAGTTTGATCTCTGGTTCTGCTAATTCCAGGTACATGATTCCAGGTACAAGATTACTTGAGCTATAAGCATTCGTTTCTTCACAGATAAAATAGGAAAAAGAAAAATATGCCATGGAGTTAATGTTAGGATTAAACAGAAAAAAATATATATCTAAAGTGACAAGCACAGTGCCTAGCAGATGGTTCAATCCTATTCATTCAATCTTTCATCCTATTTTTTTTTCACTTATAGCAGTAATGGAAATTAAAGCAAAAGAGTGAAATATTTTCATAAAGGTTGTAGGGTTTGTCATGTAAAAGATTCTTGTAAATGTACAAGAGGAAAAATATCTTTTCCTTCTATGCTTCTAGAAGGCAAACCACAGCGGTGACAGCACAAGGCGTGGGGTCCCTGAAACAAAAGAAAGGCCTATGAATGTATAATATTTAATGTAAGTTTTACATGGCACTGGAGCCTTCATAAGGAAATGAAGACCTGAATAAACCTGGTGTTTTATACCAGGCTTGATGAAAAGTAGACTGTCATGGAAAAATGTGAATGAGACAAAAAAGATGAGCTAACAGCAGTAAACTGGGGGAAACTGAGCAAGGCCTATTCATATAGATTCCTCTTGGCATCTTTCTGTCTTCACAGATTAGATTGCTTCTTTCCTCTAGGTATAGGTGTAAGATTGCCGCTTTCCTTCATCTCTCACGTGAGGGTCTTATGACCTGCTTCACGAGAAGATCAGAGTCCTTTCCACACCTGCCATTTCTCAAGTTCCATCATCTTAAAATATTCAATATGCAAAGATGTTATATTTTGGGGCAGTTTGCCCTGAACACCATCATAAATATGCTAGAAAAATTCTACAGCAAATTAGTGGACAAGGGGAAGCAGCATAGGTGTAAAAAGATTGTGGAGAGGATCTAGTAAAACACAGGGCCCCAATTCTCCTCTTAAGGAGTCTCCCCTTAAGAGACAGGGTTCACTTTCATCCCATATACTTCTGATTAAAATGGGCCTCTTACACCCAGAAGAATACATTCCAGAGGCAGAAAGCCAATTACCTAGTTATTCCCTTACCCACATAATTATAGACCTTAATCCAAATTCAAAGGACTCCTGGGAAATGCTGGAATCTGTACTTGTGTAATCTCTTGGATGAAGCACAGAGTGTGATCTTTTGTTCATGTGGGGCTAAGCTTCTGTGAAGAAGCTGAAACGCTGTGGAAAAGGGGTGCCCGTTTTGTGTATATGGATCCTAATGTAGTTGAAATTCCTAGAAGTCAAAGGTATAAATCTAACTACTAAAATCCTATTTGTAGTTCATTTAGTGTATTGAAATGCCAGTTATTAATTTATGGCAACAACTAAAAAGAAGCTTTGTGTTATTCAAGGACTAGAATGCAATTTACGCTTTGCTTAATCATTCAGCAAATGACTTCTTATTGCTCCAGAAATACCATCTTGCTAGATCCCATTCTGAATTCAGTGTTTCTGAGCAATCTCATCTCCAATACAGAAAGATGACATACTCAGGATTCCAAGACGGCAAAAAGACTTGGATAATGTAGTCTAGGGCTTGCCAGTGAGTATGAAGAGACAGACCAGAAAGACTTAAAGATTCCACTAATGCAGACAAAGCAAGCTGAGCCACAACTTCCCCGAACACCAGCAGGATGCGCCGACTCTTGGCCAAAAAAAAAGAAGATAAAGTTTGTCTTCCAGCATTCTCTTACCCTATTTTCCCCTTCCTCTTCCCTAGATACTTTAGGGAAAAACAAAGGGACTCTAGGGGGGAAAAAAGTAGATACTTTAGTGGGAAAAGTTCTGAATAATTCAATTGTTATTAAGATTCTTGTGTTTATCAGAGAAATGTTTCCTCTTTCTTTGCCAAGAAATTATATATTCCCAACAGACATGGAGCTTGAATGCTATATTTCCTTTGGAATTAAGAAAGGGGAGGTGGAGGAATCAAGAATTAAAAACCAAACCCAAGCCATTGTTCCTCTTTGAGGAAGGGTGCATGGTCAGTCGGATCTGGCGTCGCCCGAACTCCGGACATCACCCCGCGCGGCTGTCAAGTTCCTCTCCCAGTAATGCCGGGCCCAGCCTCGCCGCGGTCGATCGGGCCTCCGCCCGAAGTGGGAACGGGCCACCCGGTCCCTTCACCCACCGAAGCCTAGGCCTCTCGCCTAAACACGAAGGCAGCCTCGTCGGGCTGGAGCAGCCGTCGCGAGGCCGGCACCGTGGCCGCCGAACGCCGGGCCAGCCTCTGGCCTGGGCCACCTGGCTCCGGCCTGCAGGGGGCGCTGCGGCGGCGCCAGCGCGAGGCTCGCGCGTGCGGGGAACGACCCCAGGTTGAAGTCCCGCGGCGTGGGGCGCGTGGGGCAAGGCGGAGCGACCCAGGATCGCCGCGCCCGCGGCGGCTGAGCGGAAGCTCTGGGCTCGCGGAGGAGCGTGGGCACCTGAGCCGCGGTCCCAGCGACTCCCTCGGTGACGCCAGGCGCGTTCCTTCCTCTTCCTCTCGCCTCTCCAGCCCCGCCTTCCCTTCCCTCCGCCCACCTCCCCGAAGCTGAGCCGCCGTCGCCAGCAGCGCCGTCATGTCGGCCCCCGCCGGGTCCCCTCACCCGGCCGCCAGCGCCCAGATCCCGCCCAAGTTCGGCGGAGCTGCCGCCTCAGGAGCCGCCGCGTCCGCGGACCCAGGCTCCGCGCCGCACCAGCAGAATGGTGAGGCGGGCGGCCCGGGCGGAGAGCGGGGCCTAGCACCGGTTGGGCGGCCTGCACGGCCACATCGGGGTGGGGCGGGCCAGGAAGGGAGTCGGGGGAAGGAAAGGGACGCGGTGCGGAGGCCGCGGGGTCTAGGCTAAGCGCGGGTGGGGCAGGGAAGGCGCGGCGCGGGGCGCGGGGCACTGGGGGGAGGGGCGCCCCTGGCGTGGGGGCGGGGGCCGGCCTGGGAAAGCCGGGGCCGAGGCTGTTTATGCAATGCGACCCCAGGCCTGAAACCGCCGAGGGCGAGTAGGGGAGACCGAAAAGGGGGAGTCCACCTAGTAAAACCCAGTTACCCAGCCTGGGCGCGGGCGAGTTGCCCCGAGCGACCCCTCGGCTGCGAGAGCGGGCCAGAAGCCGAGGCCGCAGAGTGCGTGGTCTGGGGAAGGCTGCAGCAGCCATCCAGTAGGGTGGATTGTGCCCTTCCTGTCTCAGGAAAATTGCTTCGGTTCCTGAGGCCCAGCGAGTACGCTGCCTTGAGGAAACTTAAGTTTGCACTCAAGTTTGTAGACAAAAGGGTGTAAATATCTACATGAGTGTAACTGTAACCCTGACCCAGTTCGGCCTCAAGATCTGTCATTGCCGCTGTGGCTGCTGCTCGAGGGTTTGGAGTTTTCTTGTAGTGTTTGAAAGGGAGCAGGTGTAAACGGATTTAAACGAACATCTTCAGATCTGGGTGTTTTTCCGAGCTCCACTTTCAGAGATGGAAAAACGTGCCAGCGTTGGCCCTGCTTTGAGGCAAGGCCTTCATAAAGGCAGCAGCCAAATGCAACGCGAAAGCCGCTTTGATACTAAGGTCGTGGGCTTCAGTAGACTGGAAAATGATCGTCTCTAGGATATGCATTTCCTAATGTTGAGATTTGGACTGTTCGCAGGTAGGGGCCGAGGGTGGGGGAATTCTTATAGACTTGATAGCATGTCAGATGAGAACTTTGGAAAGTAATTGACTGAATTTAGAAAAATACCTCTGTCGTGTGTTGGTATGAGAATGAAACTACATTAGTGTACTCTCCAAATAATTGACCTGTTTTTATCTAATATGCTAATGAAAATCTACTGGACTTTATGAATTAGATTAACCAACATCTGAGTTTTACAACTGATGCCTTTCAAACATGAAGTTTATCGTTTGTCCTGAGAATCGGAGGTTGATTTTTTTTCATAAGCAAAAGTGATATTGGATCAGCTTTACCTATCAATAATACATGCTGTTCTCTCAGTAGTCATTGTTACTATAATGGCTTTTGGATATGACCAGTGTTATTGGTGTTGTACACCTGTTCTGAACAAATGTAAAAATATTACTTGTGAGCAGTTTTTGTTCTTGTAACCTTAATATAAGTTCATGTTTTTGTATGTTTTTAAAATAGCTTTGTGAAGGAACTAGAACACAGTAATTTAGTAAAAGAGCCCAAGTCTTTTAAAACATTGTAGACCCATGTTTACCAGTGATTCAAGGATTGTGTTTTTCCTTGATTTTCCGAATATGCAGTTTTGAAAGTGGCAAATGTTTATTTCAGTCTTATAAATTTTGTGAACACTCAAGAATGCCAGGATATGTACTCAGCCAAATATAATCAGGATGTTAAAATCTGTAGAAACAAATCGATGTTTTGATGCCAAATATAGATTATGCCTGAATTCTCCTGTTTATAATGCTTGAGTTTCCTATAATGTTGCAATAATCATTTCAACATTTATTGCATGCTTACCAGTTGGGGACTCAAGGTTGGGGTAGCAGATGAGACAGAGTCCCTGCCTCTCCTAACTTGCCCTGTATTTGGTGATGTTTGAATTGGTTCTGGCCTTGAGGGACTTGACATGTTGAGGTAGGAGGGAAAGGTTGACTCTAGGCAGAGATTACAGTGTGAACTAGAGTTTGGAAATACGAAAGTGCAAGGCATGCTTGGAAAGTGGAAGCAGTCAAGAGGTGCAAAGGGTGCTGGGTGGCAAGAGAAGCTAAGGCATTGAAGCTGAAAAGCGCAGATTAAAAGGGGTCAGGTTGCATAAAGGACTTAAATATTATGCTAGGAAATTTGAAAGTTAAGGTAAAATATACGAACTAGGGTCAGGGAGAGACAAGGTCTCCCTATGTCTGTTGGGCTCAAGTGATCCTCATACCTCATCCTCCAGAGGGATTTGTTTTTGTTTTTGTTTTTCTGGAAGGAATTAGTTTAAGTAGAGAAGCAATAAGATTAAATCTGTTTTTATTTTGTTTGCTAATCTAAAAAAAAAAGTTTGCCACATGATATCAGCATCTGGTAAGCAGTCGTTTGGGTTTCTCATTTATTTTTCAGCCCTACATAAAGTAGTTAGCCTTTTAATATATCTCTGTGGAATTCCAGACATGGTGAAAAGAAATAGGTCAGAAATATGAGCATAAAACAGACAGAATTGTAAAACTGGAATGGTACGTAGAGATCACTTACTTCAGTGTTTTGGTGTAATGTGAAATATATTTGGCCTTTGTCCTGGGTTCCAGTAACAGCTCTTAAAACCCTTATAATTTCAAGTGTCACTTTTTACTTACTCATAAGGAGCCCCTTTTGATCACATTTGAGTTTATGCTAATTAGATGACTCAGGATGGGTTTCCTAGACAGTCTCAGGCTAGAGCCTGTCACCAAAAAGACCCAAGTGATTAGAGAGTTGGGACTTTCAGTCCTCACCCGTAAACCCCTTTGAAGGGGAGTCGATAGGCTGGAGATGAAGCTTTATTAAAACTCTGGAACAGTAAGATTTGGTGACCTTCTGGGTTGCTGAACATGTGGAGATGCTGGGAGGGTGGCGGCACCTGCACCCATGCTTTGCCTTATCTCTTTCGTTTGGCTGTTCATCTGTATCCTTTGTAATATCCTTTAGAATAAACAGTAAATATAAGAGTTTTCCTGAGTTCCAGGAGCCCTTCTACCAAAGTAATTGAACCTAAGGAGAGGGTAGTAGAAACTCCAGTTTATAGCCGGTTCCTTAGAAGTACAGATGGCAACCTGCTATTTATGATACCTATGATAGGCATCTGAAGTAGTGAGCTGTCTTGTGGGACTGAATCCTTCATCTGGGGGATCTGAGTCTAACTTCAGGTTGGTAGTATCAGAATTGAATTGGAATGGAGGACACCCAATTGGTGTCTGCTGAGGAAAAATAAAAACAAAAACCCACACACCTAGTCACAGAAGTAGTCTGTGCAGAAGAAAGTAGAGTGAAAAAAGTTTTTGGGGTGGGTGTTTGTTGGTTTGTTTGTTTTAGAGACAGGGTGTCACTCTGCCACCCAGGCTGGACTCAGTGGCACAGTCATAGCTGGATGCAGCCTCAACTTCTTGGGCTCAAGTGATCCTCCTGTCTCAGCTTTCCAAGTAGCGAGGACTGTAGGCATGCACCACAGGCATGCAGGTAGCTAGGACTACACGCATGCAACTGGCTAATTATTTTTATTTTTATTTTTGTAGACACTGAGTCTCACCATGTTGCCCAGGCTGGTCTCAAACTCCTGGCCTCAAGCAATCCTCCTGCCTAGACCTACCAAAGTCTTGGGATTACAGGCATGAGCCACTGTGCAGGGCCATTTTTTCTTTTGCAAGTGGTTAGCAAACTGAAAACGTTTTTTTAAAAAGATTTGTTTTTCCAAAGGACATTGGGTATAGACCCCTGATAGAGAAATCAGAAAAAAGCAAAGTAGTTGTCATTAAAATAAAATGTCAGTTGTTTTTAAGCACAGTCTGAAAAACACGCAGTTCAGTGCCCTAATTTTACAGATGAAATGATTCAGAAAGGTTACTTGGGGCCAGGCGTGGTGGCTCACGCCTGTAATCCCAGCACTTTGGGAGGCCGAGGCGGGTGTATCACGAGGTCAAAAGATTGAGACCATTCTGGTCAACATCGTGAAACCCTGTCTCTACTAAAAATACAAAAAATTAGCTGGGCATGGTGGCGCATGCCTGTAATCTCAGCTATTCCGGCGGCTGAGGCAGGAGAATTGCCTGAACCCAGGAGGCGGAGGTTCCGGTGAGCCAAGATCTCGCCATTGCACTCCAGCCTGAGCCTCCATCTCAGAAAAAAAAGAAAGGTTAAGTAGATAGCTTTGTGAGGGTAGCAGTTTTTTCTGTCTCTTGTTCACGTTATATGAGAGCCTAGAACAATATAGGCAGTTACAAGTATTCATTAGACATGTATTAAATAAAGTCCACTTTGTTTCTTCTAATTCCAACTCTAGGTCTCTTTTTAAAATTTTTATTTATTTTAGAGACAGAGTCTCACTCTCACCCAGGCCGAAGTACAGTGTTGCCATCATAGGTCACTGCAACCTTGAACTCCCGGGCTCAAGCAGTCTTCCCTCCACAGCCTCCTGAGTAGCTGGGACTATAGGTGTATGCCAGCATACCCAGCTAACTTTTTAAAAAATTGTAGAGACTGATCTCAAACCCCTGGCTTCAAGTGATCCTCCCACCTAGACTTCCCAAAATGCTGCGATTACAGGCATGAGCTACCATGCCCAGCCTAAAAATCTCTGTTAACAGACTCTAATAAAATTCTTTTTAGAAACTTTGACGTTGTTTGGGAAGGGTAAGGAATAGAGAGCCAGAAAACCAGGTCTTCATAATCACTTTTACTTGTTTTCTTGGTGTAACTGCTACCATGTTTGCTCCCCTTATTCGAAGATACAGCTTGACTTGATAGAGTCTGTAAAATCTTTGTCTTAAACTTCTTTCTTTGGTGTTGTATTTCTATCCTGCATTTTTCCTTGAGTGATGTATGGATTTTTAGAATTATTTGTATTTCCATACCAAGTTATCAACTGAATATTTCTTACCTTTTACTCTGCCTTTTAGGATTCCTTCTAAAGCTGAGTTGTCAACATAGGAGGACTGAGTAAAATAATAGCCTGGTAATGATCTTGTTGGGATGTGGTGGGGGGGGGGTGCTCAGATTTAATAATAAACTGCTGCTTTTTAATTTTACTTTTAG